GCCTGCGTCCCGGGTACCCTAGAGCCCCGGTCCCTGCACGACTGCGCTCTGAGGGACGGTGAGGCTGCTTGGGGAGAGGGCGGAGGGGGGGGCTCAGTGACCCCCCTGGTGACCCCAGCTTGCCCTCCTCTGCGTCTCTCCACAGCGCCCCTGGTCCTCTGGCCCGGGTTCTCCAAGTCGTCTCACATGGGCCGGCTCAGAAACGCCAAGATCCACGTAGAGAAAGCTGTGAAGGTCCGCGGAGGCGGGGGCGGCTGGGCCGCCATGTGCTATTTTGTCACATCCTTAAAAACCTAAACTCCCTTGGCCCTTGGCCCCACACCCATCTCTGAGTAGCGCCCCCTCCTGGGCAGAACTTGCTGTGGGAGTTGTCTGCGCCCTTCTCCCCCTCTTCTCCTGACACTTGGCCCCCTGCTACTGCTCCTCTGGTTGCCTGCCCTTCCCACCCCACTCTCACCAGAAACCGCTCTGTAAAATCCCTGGTAACCTCCAGGAGCCAAACCCAGCAGGCCCAGCCCTCTAACCTCTCTTCTTGGGGGAGATTACAGGCGTTTCAGACTCACATGCCAAACCATACCAATTTTCCTGCTCAAACCTGAATTCCCACCCAGTCTGATTTCCCATCTCTTAGTTGCTCAAGCCGGAAATCAAATCTTTCTGCTCCTTCAACCCCTCCCTAATCCCATCAGCAAATCATTCGTCACCTTTACCGGTGGTTATGGGGTTGCAAACCCCAAGGGGACTTTCAGCCTTCTCGCCTTCTGCGTCCCCACTGTAGCCACCCTCCTCCAAGCCTCAGACATTGCAAGGACCTCCTGAATGGCCCTGTTTCCCTCTCTGTTCTCAGATTATAGCAAGACAGATTTACAAAGCCTCCAACTGTTATTCTTGCATTTGGCTTTATTGCCTCACGCTGACAGTTCGGGCCGGGAATTGGCTCAGGAGTTCTGCTGCCTCAAGCACAGGGACCTGAGTTTGATCCCCAGCACCAATCAATCAATCAATCAATCCAGGTCCAGGTTTCAGGTCCTGCAGGGCCCTCCACAGTCCACCCACTGCCTTCTCCTCATGAATGCCCCACCCCGCCGCATCTACAGACCTTGCTTACTGCATCCTGCTTTCAGTTTCTTCTGTGTGACACCCAGCCCCATGGTCTTCAAACATGCCTTTCCTTCTGCTTGTGTACCTTGGTGGCTCCTTTCATCCTTCCTTCACTGTGCATTTCTCAGTAGTGTCCCCGAGACCCTGTGTTCAGTCCCCAGCAAAAACCAGAAAAATCCCTCTGCTTTCAGTTAATCACAGGTGTGGCCTTGGGCAAGCTACTTTCTCTATGCCTGTTTTGTAATCAGTTAGAGGTAACAGTATCCACTAAACATGCATATTGTTATAAATATAAGTGCCTACAACATATAGTGTAATCCATACTTTTTTTTTTTGAGACGGGTCTTTATGTAGTTCAGGCTGGCCTTGAACTCACTATGTAACATAGGCTGCCTGAGACTTGCAGCGTTCCTCCTGCCTCAGCCTCCTGAGTGCATCTGTAAATATTATTGTACAATCATCAATGAGATACTTTCGGGAGCAATTCTAAATAATTTTGGGGGAAAATCATTTTATAATCAAATTATGATTAGGCCTAGTTTTCCTGTCTGTAGGCCAGCTATGGCATGTCAAAACGTAACTTTTTGCCTCCAATCACAGCTGAAACCTCAGTAGTCCTGGTGATTCTATGACACTCAAGGGCAGGATTATACCAGCTGAAGGCCTCCTGAAGAGAATAATCTTCATCTACACAAATTCCTCATTGTTGTAGGATTATCTCTGTCCTGCCCTCTGAGTGACCTGTTACTCTCCTTGTTTGGGGGGGGTGTGTGTCTGTCTTTCATCTTTGATGTACAGAGCAGCACTGATCAGGTCCAAAGCTGAGCTTCTTGTCTAAGTCTCATTTTCTGTCTTAATTCACTAATACACCTTGTGCTGTTGTGGCTCACAGGAGACCAGGACCCACTGCAGGGGTTCTAGTAATGTGCCCTTTCCCTGTGCCCTACATAATACTATGCACAGTCCTGTCTCTCCTGATGGACTATAAAACTTCCCTACAGGCAGAGACTATAACTGCTTTACCAATGTGTCTTCTCTCTGGCCCTTGGGCAATGCTTAGTGTAGAAATGCCATCTTTTACCTTACAGCAGAAGAAAATTTTTATGATCCAAGGCCGATACCCCGTGATCCGGGGTCTCTTACGCCGGAGGGGCTGGGTGGAGAAGAAGATGGTCCATCACTCAGGCACCATGCTGCTACCCCTGCAGAAGGATAACTCAGTGGTAGGGGACAGTGATACCACTGAAGATGGTGAGCAGTTCTCTCCCTGTACCAAAGCTTCTCTCCTGAGTCCTTTCCCTTGGTTGCACTGTTCCACAGCTGAGGCTGTGGGGCAGGAACAGGGTCTCATCAGGCCTGGGCTCTTCATCCACAGAAGATGAAGAAGAAGATGAGACACTCCAGCTACCACAGCTGGTGGACTTCGATGGCTTTCTGGAGCTCCATGACTTGGATGGGACACATGCTTTAATGGTGAGGGCCAAGATGAAGCAGGGTGCTGGCAGTGGCTTTCAAAGTATTAAGGAGAGTGCAGGTGTCCAGCTGGGTGACCTCAGACAAGTCCTTCTTGGGGCCTCTGTATAAAAACGCACTGCTTCTCCAAAGGCTGGGTAGGCTGGCATATCACCTGTGTGGCCGGACTCCCTCCCTGGTGAAGGCTTCTTGTTCATCTTCTCCTCCATCCTTGGCTTGTGAAGCTGCAGGGAGGGACTTGAAGGCTCTGGGAATAACTGGGGTGACAGTGTGGAGAACATTCATGTGAGCTGAATTTGAAGCGTGCACTGCTATGCGATGAGTTGAACTCTGAAGTTGGTTTTTGTTGTTTTTTTCCTAGCTGTTTTTTTTTGGTTGTTTTTTTTTTTTTTTTTTTTTTTTTTTTTTTTTGTGTGTGCACAGAATCAAATTCAGGGCCTGACACCTGCCAGGCCAGGCACTGTGTCACTGAGCTATATATCCCCTGCATGCTTTTGTTTTTTGAGACAGGGTCTCGCTATGTAGTTCAGGCTGGCCTTGAACTCATTGTGTAGCCTGGGCTAGCAATCCTGTCTTAGCCTCCTGAGTGCTGGGATTGTAGGCGTGTAATCCCTCCTGGTTGACATTGTTGTTTCCATGTCAGGAAGGGTTGAATACTGGCATCTTTCTGTGGTTCCGTTTTGTGAAGTTGGGCAGATCACCTTCTCTGTCTCTCACTTGCCTTACTGTGAGATGGGAATTATAGTAGCACCTACCTTGTAGGACGCAGGTAAGGGTCAGGACTTGGAAAGTGCTTAGCAAGGCCTAGCTTGGTGTCCCTAGTTATTCCTACTCCCGGGTTGCAGGAAGGACAGAGCTGTGGGGTCCGTGAGAGGGCCTTTGTCACATGCTGTGTGCCATCTGCTTGCAGTGTGTTCTGCCACTGGGCAAATTCTGATGGCCTGGGTTAGAGTGAGGGGTAATGTCCTTATAGCTTAGTTGCTGCACAGGGCTACTTGGAGCTGGCCTGTCTGCTCCCCAAGCATGGGCCCCAAAAAGAGGTGTCTTTTTGTACTCTACCCAAGCTGCTGTGTGCCCAAGGCCTCCTGGGCAGCATTTTCTCCTCCCTGCTCCCCTCCCCATGTCTACCTCCTCCCTCCCAGTCCCGCATGGTTCGGAATGAGACCCCTTACCTCATCTGGACCACTCGACGGGATGTGCTGGACTGTCGCTTCCTTGCCAAGGATCAGATGATAAACCACTATGCCCGAGCTGGCTCCTTTACCACAAAGGTAGGCTCTTGGGAGTGGGTGGGGCTGCATGCACCCCAGCCCTGGACTACTATCCCACCCCCTGCTGTCTGTGCCCACAGAGAGCTTTTAGGAGAGCAAGAGCTTTGTGCCTCAGTGAGACAGGGAGTCATTGGTAGGCTTGGGTTCAGCTCCAAGCCCCACGTGATACCTGGTCCCTGTCGTTAGAATGACAGAAATGGCCTGGTTACCATGAGCAGAAAGTCCCTTCCTGAGCAGGGCACATCTTGCTGATGGCTCCATTCCAGCTTGCCCGGGTTTCTTAGCAAGTAGCTTCACCTCTCCAAGCTTTGGTTTTCTTATCTTTATTTATTTAGGTAGGTTTTTTTTTTTGTACCAGGGATTGAACTCAAGACCTGATGCTTGCAAGGAAGGTGGTGGAACCACTGAGCTAAATACCTGGCCCAATTTAGGTTTTTTTGAGACAGGGTCTTGCTGTATAGCCCAGGCTGGCCAAGGCATGCACCTCCTGCCTCAGCCTCCTGAATGCTGGGATTAACAGCATGTGCCACCAGGTCTGGCTGAACTTTTCTCATTTTTCCATGAAAATCCCAAGGAGCCTACCTTGTAGGGCTTTGGTGAAAATGAAGGGCTTTCCCCAGAGTGAGCTGGGAAGGCTGGCTGAAGAGGCAGTCTTTACAGAAATCAAAGGACAGAAGAAAGGACTGGGGCCCCCGGACAGGTCTGTGGATAGATCTGGGCAGGTCAGGCCTCACTGTCTGGATGTGTGCTGTGTGTGGAGTCCCCGCCTTGCCACCTCATCAGGTGTTTCCACAGGTGGGTCTGTGTCTCAATCTCCGGAATCTGCCATGGTTCGATGAGGCTGATGCGGACTCCTTCTTCCCTCGGTGCTACCGCCTAGGTGCTGAGGATGACAAAAAAGCCTTCATAGGTAAGGTGAGCCCTGCCCGTGACAACCCTCAGGCTGGAGGACAGAGCCTAACACTCTGGCTCGCTAGAGAGCAAAGGCCTTTCCTCACCCTTATCTGCCTCCACGGATTTTCTCCTCTCTCCCTGTCCCTTCCTCTCCTTAATATGCTTTCCTCAGTGAGCCTGACCTGGCCAGCCTCGACTGTTAGAAAAGCTCAAATAGCTTAGCTCATATTCTACAGCAGGCTCTAGAAGTTGTATCTGGAACCCAGCATGGATTCCTGGCCTACAAGAAGTTCTGTTAGCTGGATGGAGCTCTGAAAAAAGGTGGTTGGCTTGTGGGTTCCTAAGACAATAGGTCCCAAGATCAAAGTATGTTCTAAATTCAGATCAGAATTTAGAACCAGAGTAGATGCTGTGTTTCAGATTGTATTCCAGACCTGGAAAAGTTTGGGTCAAGGTTGGGCTCACCAACTAGAATAAGCATCAGGATAGGTGAGGAACAGCAGGTCTAGGCCAGACTGGAAAGAGAGAATATTTGCCAGGTCTGGTCACATTCTAGGTCTGATTCTGTAACTGAGACAGGAGCCAGGTTCTAGAGACAGAACAGGTGAAGTCAGGTTCTGGACCCAGAATGGGGCAAGTCATGATCAGGTTCCAGAATCAGAACAGGCCTTGAGCCTAGGGGCTGAGCAGGGTATCCCCTGCCCCGGAAGCAGAGGACTTCTGGCTGACAGCTGCCCGCAACGTTCTCAAGCTGGTGGTGAAGTCAGAGTGGAAGTCGTACTCTGTCCAGACAGAAGAGGAAGAGGCCACAGGTAGGTACTATGGTAGTTCCATTCCCCTGCCTACCTCATCTGCTCATCCACACATCTGTCCACTGCTGTCCACATAGTGTCCATACTTGGCAGTTGCCCAGCACTCTGTCCATCCATCTGTTCACTGACCCACACCTCCATCTCTTCATCTCCTCATCCACTGCCTGCCATCCGCTCCACACCCCCTTCATCCTTCCTGCCCATCCGCTTGCTTTTTTGTCCTCCTGTCTCCTGCCTGTTCATACCCCTCTCATGCCCCACCTTGCCTTCCTTTCCACTTGTTCATTGGTCAGGCCTTCCCTGGGCCTGTTGTGAGGATGAGCTTGGATGGGCACATGAGGATGTGTGGGGTCCCCTCTGAGGAGCAAGAGGTGGTGAGACCATGTCACAGGAGTCCTGAGGACACAAGGAAAATCTGGAGTAGAGGAACATGGCATCCCTCACTGTATGCCAGCCCAGCCCATTGCTTATTCTTTCCCTCTCTGGGCTTGGCTCCTGTGTCTATGCCCCTAGTCCTATAATGCAGGGCTCAGCAGCCAGTTATTCAGGAAAGTAGGAGGCAGCACTCTAGAGAGGAGAGAGATCCCTGCTCCTCCTGCAGGAGACCTCACATTGCTGTTCCTTGGCCTGGTGTGTTGGGTACAAGTGAGACTGTCTACCAGGATCGGGAGCACAGGGACTCGTGTGTGGTGGACACTCTGCACTTAACCTTCCACGGTGGTGGGTTTGGGCATGAGTCAGGCTGCAGAGGTTGAGTGCCTCCACTGTCCAGCAGGATTCAGGAAGCCCTGCCATGTCTGGGGAGTCAGAGTTTTGGGTGAGGGGTCAGTTCCTGGCATGTCACTTGTGGGTTTGTAACTGCATGTGTAGGTCAGTGCTTTGGCAGTTCAAGACCCTGCGAGTAGGTGCAATTCTGATGAGTTGGGACTTAAGCAGCTGTCTCACACTTGGTATCCTGTGTACCTGGGATTGCCTGGGCCAGTGTTGGTGAACCTGTGGCACACCTGTTATCTGTTTTTCTTTTAAGACAAAAGATGTTAATGTAGAGTTGTTACTTCTAAATTTAAACCTCAATATTGAGGTTTAATTGCAGTATTGGCACTTTGTGATAAAAAATGGGTTTTGAGTTCCACTGTGGGTACTTATCTCCGAAAGGTTTGCCATCATTGGCCTAGTCCAAGGCTTCCAGGACATGACAGACAGGGGCTACAGGTGTGTGCTGGGGTCACAGGTGCTGTGGCAACCTTGGAGACATTTAGGGTAGAGCTGTAAGGGACTAAGAGGGCCTAGGACAGTGGGGCCAAAGGGGAAGCACTCAGGTTGCAGGTGATCTGGGGTAAAGCCTCAGGTGAGTGGCGAGCCCAGGCTCACAATGGACCTCAGGTGTCTTTAGGAGAGGCCTCAGGTAAACGATAGGCCCTGGGGCAGCAGGGACTGTGGCATGTGACACTTTGCCCATCCCAGTGTTGGAGGACAGGCCCCTTCTTATCTCTGCAGGAGATAAGCAGCCTAAGAAGCAGGAAAAGAAGCCGGTGGTGGTGTCCCCAGAATTTGTGGACGAGGCTCTGTGTGCATGTGAGGAGCATCTCAGCAACCTGGCCCACACGGACATCGACAAGGACGTGGAGGCCCCGCTGTGCCTGAGCCCCGAGGGCTGGGCCCTCTTCCTCCAGCGCTATTACCAGGTGGTCCAGTGAGTAAGCAGAGTCAGCGGACCAGGTGCAGGCCTCCTTCCCAGGCTCACCCTTTTGTATGCCGGCTGCTCTCCTGCTCAGGAACCCTGAGGGCTCCCTCTGCCTCCAGACCACTCTTCTCAGCCAGCTCTTAGCACAGTGCAGCCCTAAGACTGCGGCCTGAGCTGTCGGCAGACTTGGAGTCCAGTTCGTAGCTTTGCAGCTTCCACGTTCTGGGATCTTGAGGAGGATCTCACTCCTTTTCTGAGCCTTCCTTTTCTCAGATGCCAATTAATGTCTGCCTCAAAGGTGGGGTAGGAGAAAATACTTTTAGGTATGTGCTCAGCCCGGGCCCATGGTTTCTCTCACAAAATAGGCACATAAGCCGCTTAGATTTACTTTCTAGTGTGGCCACCTCCAGATTTGTTATACGAAATGCTAATTCCTCGGGAAGTAAAAAGGAAAAGAGGGCTTTAGGCATCAGTCAGGTTTGAACAACTTTGGGTTAAACAGCTGACTAAATGGGTTTCGTGGACACAGGCCTCTTGAGACCCTGTGGGATGGAAGGACTGAAGGTGTGTCTGTGCTGAGTGACCCAGTGCCCGAGGGCTGGGACTACACAGCTGGCCAAGGCTCTGCAGCAGGGGAGCCTGGTGCTTCTGGAGGAAGGAACCTGAGCCCAGGCACACATGAGGGTCGGGGATGCGGGCTGGTGGCAGGAGAGGACTCGGCAAGGAATTTCTGGGAGCCCAACCTTGAGCCATGAATGAACCTTGAATGGATGGAGACCAGTGTCTTCAGCAAATAATTCATCTGTCTTTTCTGAAGGTCAGAAAATGACCAGGTAACCCTGTACTTATCCTGGAACTGGGGATTGAACCTGGAGCCTTTACACAGAGCTACATCTCAGGCCTTTTTTATATTTTATTTTGACATGAAGTCTCGCTAAGTCATCAGCTGCTATGGCAGGGCTAGAACTTGTATCCTCCTGCCTCAGCCTTCAGAAGTACTGGAATTACAGAGTGAGCCACCACTCCAGGCTCCAAGTCACCTTTCTTAAACTCAGTTAGGCTGTGTTGGGACATGAGGCATAAGTAAGTCCTTTTCATTCCCAGCACATGAGCAGCAAGTTCTTGAGCACTATGGGAACTGCCTAAAAGTAAGAACACATAAGATACTGCCTGGTATAAGAGAAATGCTCAGTCCTGAGCTCAGTATAGGTAATAATCATCATTCATTCATTCATTCATTTATTCATTCAATTTCTTTTTGAGGCAGGGTCTCGCTTTGTAGTTCATAATGACCCTGTACTCACTATGTAGCCCAGGCAGGCCTTGAATTTGGCAGCGATCTTCCTGCCTCAGCCTCCCAAGTACTGGAATCACAGGCATTTACCACCACGCCTGGCTCATTCATTCAGTATTTACCCAAGGATTTCTCAGCTTTTAATTTTACTTGTTTATTTAGTTATTTTGTGGTGCTGAAGATTGAACCCAGGCCTAATATCTGCTAGGTAGGCAAGCACTCTACCAGCAAGTCACGCTGCTAACCCTAGTTTCTCAGCTTTTTAAAACAAATCCACGCCAGATATGGTAGCACACAGCTGTAGTGCAGCACTCAGAAGAAGGCTGAGGCAGGAGGGAGGCTGTGAGTCGGAGGCCAGCCTGGGCTACACAGTGCTTTATGCCTCGTGGCCTCATGAAGCCTGATTTCTCAAGTTAAGGAAGGTGAGTGGTGGCTCACTCTATTTGCACTACTTTGGAAGGTTGAGCAGGAGGATCACAAGTTCTAGCCCTGCTAGGGCAACTGATGACTTAGCAAGCCCTTAGGTCTCAAAAACAAAACAAAAGTCCATGCCTCACCAGCGAGGCTTTTACAAAGATGTGGCTTCCCTGTATAATTTGCTAGATATAAAATCATATTGAATATAGTTTTTCAAATTATTTGTGCTCTTCCCTGGGTGACACATTTCTGGGCCACATCCCAGATTTATAGAGCAGACTTATGCTGAGGATAGGGTGGGAGAAGTATATGGGATTTAGATCTGGATGTTCCCGGGCCACCTACTGAACCTCCATCTGGCTGTCCCTCTGTGCTCTGCCTCCCGGACAAGCAGGAGACCCTGGAGAGGCTGAGATGTCAAACCCAGATTTGCACCTTGAAGGGGGTTTTGCTGTCCAGGAGAGTCTGGATGAGTGACCATCTGGGCTATACATTTTCCATCCTGTGAGAAGCATGGTCCCACATTGTCCAGGAAGTCCTGTCTACCTGGACAGCCCAGTGGCCAAGGGCGCACTGCCCTGCTGCTGTCTCTTGACTCTCAGAATGCGGAGCAGCTCAGGAGTGGTGGATACAGTGTTTTGAGATGAAACTACAGCAAAGAATCACAGCTGGGAAGATGTTCCTTCTCAGGCTGAGAATGTAGGTTAGTGGTAGAGTGCATGCTTAGCATTCTGGGGTTTGATACCCAGACGCACACGCACACACACACACACACACACACACACACACAGTTCTATTGGAGAGCGACAGGCAGTAACTAAATAAGCATCTGGATCTGGTGGGGGAACCTGATGGGAAGAGAAAGGCAGCCAGGGACGTTGTATTACAGATGTGCTTGACTGGAATTAGACTTGAAAGGGAACCTATCAGCCAGTGGTGGGTCCAGATCAGGAGGGGAGTAAACCCAAAGAGCACCTTCCGGTGAACCGACCAGGCATTTGAATCATGGAGCAGTCACACAGCTCAGCAGCATATGCCTTTTTAGAAAGGACAAGTAACGCTTCCCTGGCAGGGTTGTTGAGAGGACTTTGGATAATATGTGGAAAGCCCCAGATCGGTGCAGTGCTGCTCAGCCAAAAGGAGTTTGAATAGGAAGCAGGTGGTGGAGGTGGAAGGTTGGAGGGAGAACAGATGGTGAAATAAGGGATTTCTCCAGCCTTTCCTACTCTTGGTGGGGGCCAGTCAGGGGTGGAGCTGGGTGGCTTGAGGGTGGGGTCAGTGCAAGAGAGCCCTGTCCAAATCCGAGGGGAAAGCACAGCCCAGGTTGGCAGGACTGTAGTGGTGGTGGTGGGGCTGTCCTCCCGCCTGCTGCAGTACCACTATTTTCCCACAGCAAGGGCGCCGAACTCAAGCACCTTGACACTCAGGTGCAGCACTGTGAGGACATCCTGCAGCAGCTGCGGGCCGTGGTACCCCAGATCGACATGGAGGGGGTTTGCAACATCTGGATCGTGAAGCCAGGAGCCAAGTCCCGTGGACGAGGTAGGGGCCAGGCCCCGATCTCTGCACCAGCATCCCATGACCTGCCCTCTGGGTACCCAGACTGCCTGGGTTCAAATCCCAGCTGTATCACTGGTATTCTGCATCACCTCACACAAGCCATGCCCCCTCTCCAAGCCTTTTTCCTGGGCTGTGAGGAAGTGAGGGTTCAGTGCAGTGTTGCATCTGAGGTTGTTCAGGGAAGTGCTAGGCCCAGCCCTTGCCCCACACTGGCAGCGCCTGGGATGGCAGTGCGAGCTGTGGCCCTCCTGCTCTTGGAGCTCACGCTTCTGCTCCAGGGAGGTTTGGTGACTCTGGGCTCTCAGCTGTCCCAGCCTGTCCTTGCAGGGTTTAGTACAGTGGTTAAGGACATGGACATGGAAGCCATAACTAGGGTCCAGGCTCTACTCTTCTACCTCTTGGCTTGCCTTTGTGGGTAGCTCTCCTTCAGGAGACGAGGGAGCTGCTGTTCCTCAGAGATTTAGATTTAAGGGGCACTCTGCACTCTGCCAGGTCTGGGCCTAACCACTGCTGGGTCGTGGTTTTCCTGGCTGCTCTGTGAAGTGTGGCTCGGACTTGAGCAGTGCACAAGGTTGGCATAGAAGCCTGGCCTCCAGACCGCAGGAGGCTCCCAGGAGGTAGGAAACAATTTGCTACCACATCCCTCCAGATACTGCCCTGGGGTCGATTCCTGCCCAGGAGAAGCTGTTGCAGCTCCTGAAGCAGAACACTTAACTCATCTTGGGGAGAAGATGTCACATCAAACCAGAACCAGAGTCAGGAATTGGTAGTGAACACCTGCAATCTCAGCACTTGGGAGGCTGAGGCAGGAGGATCACAGTTTGAAGGCTAACCTGAGCTACATACCAAGATCCTGTCTCAAACAGCAATAACAACAAAAAAACCCAAAAAACAGAGAAGCCAGAATTGGGTTGCTTTCTTTTTCTACCTTGTGTTGTTTTCTTTTTTTTTTTCCAATTATGAAAATTTGTGGTTATTGTATTAGAAAAGACAAATACAGAAAAGTAGAAACAAGCAAAAGCCACCCTAATTTCACTGACAGATAGCTGCTCTCAGCAGCTGGCTGTGTTTCTTTTCTTTTGTTTTTTTTGGTATGGGGGATTGAACTCAGGTCCTTGGGCTTACAAGGCAGGCAGTGGCACCACTGAGCTAAATCCCTGGCCCTAGTTTCTTTTCTTTGAAACAAGATCTCACTTTATACTTCATGATCCTCCTGCCTCAGCCTCCAGTGAGATTATAGGCATGTGCTGCCACACCCAGTTTGGTGTATTTTCTCTACATTTTTCCTATACATTTGGTGGGGGTGTATTTTATTTTAAACAGAATACTATTCTTGAGCCAGGAGTGGTGGCATGTGCCTTTAATCCCAGCACTCGGGAGGCTGACACAGGAGGATCGCTGTGAGTTCAAGACCAGCCTGGGCTACATAGTGAGTTCCAGGTCAGTCTCAACTACATAGTGAGACCCTGTCTCAAAAAAAAAAAAAAAAACTATTTTTAGTCTCATTTGTTTTTTTTCTCATTGAGTTTATTCGTACATTTTAGGTATACAGTACAGTTACATTTATCATTGGGATCTTGTACCTTTACATGACAGGTCTTGGTTCTCATTTTTACCCTTTACCCTGCCCTCCCTTTACTCCCTCCTCCCTTCCCTATTTACAAATACTTTATTTCCATTTTTTCATTTATATTCTCATTTTTCATTTGTGTCTCTCTATATTAATTAATATAAAAACTCATTTCAGGGCTGGGGATTTAGCTCAGTGATTCCGCCACCTGCTTCGCAAGAGCAAGGACCTGAGTTTGATCCCCGGTACCAAAAAAAAAAAAAAAAAAAAAAAAAAAATTCAGTTTTGCACATATTTTTCCTGAGATAGGGTCTCAGTATTTACCATTGCCCAGGCTGGCTTTGCTTCTCCCCTCTCAGCCACCCCCAGAACTGGAATTATAAGCCTGTGTCACCATACCTGGCCTTGCTTCTTAGCAGTGGACATTAGAGATCACTTCAATATATCAGATTTTATTTAGCTTAAAGTTATTTTTTATGGGTACTTCATTTTATTTCTCAAAAGACTGGGTCTTACTATGTTGTCCAGGCTGGCCTCAGACTCCTCGATTCAAGTGATCCTCCTGCCTCAGCCTCCCAAGTAACTGGGTCTGTAATACGTGCCACCATATCTGCCTATTATGAACACTTTCAAACGTACACAGAAGAGAAATAATATAATGAATCCCCTTATAGCTAGCACTAAATTGTAATATTTTATCTCCTTTTTTTTTTTTTTGGTACTGGGGATCATACTCGGGTCTTGCTCTTACAAAGCAGGGGCTGAAACCACTGAGCTAAATCCCTGGCCCTTACCTCCATTTTAAAAACCGTCACTGAGGTGTGTATGGCAGGCTCTGCTGAATGGGTGTGCAGTGAGCACACAATGAATGAGTTGTCACACTGTGAGCAAACTTGTGTAAACAGCTCTCAGAGGCAGAAAGTGGATGTCACCCGCGGGCCAGAGCCTGGGCCTGTCCCCATTTCCACCTGATGACTTGTTCTGCCCTGTCAGGCCCGCATGGGCAGTGCCTGTCCCTAGGCTCTGGGGCCTGCGCGGTCTCACTCAGTTCTGTTTGGTAGCTGCATGGTGGGACCTAGCCTGGATGAGGTGGCATGGATATCTCCCTCACCTGGTATACAGCTTCAGGTTTTGGTTTTCTTGTTTTTGTTTTGTTTTTTTGAGACAAAACAAAATAAAAACAAAAAATATACTTTAGGCTGGGTGTGGTAATGTACACTGTAATCCCACATTTGGGAGGCGGAGGTAGGAGGATCGTCATGAGTTTGAGGCCATCCTGAACTACAAAGTAAGATCCTGCCTCAAAAAATGAAAAATAGGGCCAGGGATTTAGCTTAGTGGTGCCACTGCCTGCCTCGTAAGCACAAGGTCCTGAGTTCAATCCCTGGTACCAAAAAGAAAAAGAAAATTATGCCTTATAGTCATAAGATGCTTAACTTCACTCAGAAGAGATAAAACAATGGGTGGAGTACCACACAAAAAAAGGACATAATGGGCTGAGGGATTAGTTCAGTGGTAGCTAAATCCAGTGCTTATCATGTGTAAGACCTTGGCACCAAAAAAGAAAAAAAGTCATGGTGGCATGCACCTGTAGTCTCAGGTTATGTGGGAGCCCGAGGTAGGAGGATCACTTGAGCCTAGAAGTTCAAAATCATCCCAGGCAACATACTGAGACCCTGTGCATAAACAAATAAGATGCCATTTTCTAGCCAGCAGAGTGACCCAAACCAATGGTCAGCTGTTTGCGTGCTCTCTCGGCAGACACACAGTCTCATTCATACATTTTTGCCAGGACTGGAAGTTGGAAGGAAACCTTTGGCAATGGAAAATGGAAAATGCAGATGCCCTTGAGCCTGGTAGACAGGACTGGAAATGTATCCTACAGGTGTTAGTGTGAATGGTGTGAGTTAGCATTCACTGGACTCTTGCCATGTGCTAGCCCTCGTCCAAGTCATTGGCTTGCTTTAATTCGTGTAATTTAGAGAGACTAATGTTATTTAGAAAGACACCACTGTGGGTCTGGGATGTGTAGTGGTCGACCTTTAGAGAGGAGGTCTAGGTGCTTTGTTCTGGGTTGGTTTGGTGTTTTTGTTTGCTTTGGTGTGCTCTATGTCCTTTTGTATGAATTTTTTTTTTTTGGTTTATAATTTTTAAACTATCAGAGGAATGTAGTATTTCCCCATATTTACAAAAAAGCCAGTACTTTTTTTTTTTTTTGGTACCAGGGATCGAACTCGGGTCCTTGTGTTTGCGAGGCAGGCGGCAGAACCACTGAGCTAAATCCCCGGCCATATGTTCTTTTTCAATAGTTAACTAGAAATATATTAACTAGTTAATAGTTAACTAGAAAAATATTAAAAACCTAAACAAGTCAGCTTTCACAGAGGGAGCAGGACCCTTGGCCACGTGGCTGTCCTGCCCCTTGGGGAGGAGCACAGCCTGCCCGCCTGACCACCCTGTTCTCGTAGGCATCCTGTGCATGGACCGCCTGGAGGAGATGCTGAAGCTGGTGGACTGCAACCCCACGGTGATGAAGGATGGCAAGTGGGTCGTGCAGAAGTACATCGAGCGGCCCCTGCTCATCTTTGGCACCAAGTTTGACCTGAGGCAGTGGTTCCTGGTAACTGACTGGAATCCACTTACTGTGTGGTTCTACCGAGAAAGCTACATCCGCTTCTCCACACAGCCCTTCTCCCTGAAGAACCTGGACAAGTGAGCTCTGCTTCTTGCCTCCTGTGAGCCCCCGGTTTGGTTGGGAGCTCTTGTCTCATAGCCACACAGCTCCAGGCAGGGTCAGACAGCCAGCTCCATCCCCTGCCTTCATGCAGAGGCGCTTGCTGAGAGTGGACACCGGGCCACGTGCTGTCCTAGAAACCTGGGACGGAGTGGCCAACAAGACAAGATCCCAGCTCTCACAAGCACACATTCCAGCAGGGAGACACATGCACAGTGAGCATAATGGGCACCATGATTTAATGGGATAAAAGATGACATGTATAAAAAGAAAAGTGAGCCGGGCGTGGTGGCATAGGCCTGTAATCCCAGCCCTTGGGAGGTTGAGACAGGATGATCCCTGTGAGTTCAAGACCAGCCTGGGCTACATAGTGAGTTCCAGGGCAATTCAACTACATAGTGAGACCCTGTCTCAAAAAAAAAAAAAAAAAAAAAAAAGAAAAGTGGAGCCAGAGATTTAGCTCACTGGTGCTGCCACCTGCCTCGCAAGTCCAAGGTCCTGAGTTCGATCCCTAGTACCGAAAAGAAAAGTGGAGAGCTGGTAAAGGCAGGCCAGCAGAGAGCTGGGAGAAGAGAAACAATAAGAGGTATTAACTTCGGGGATGAGAAGAGGCTTCGTTATGGCCTGGGTTCAGATGCTCTCTGCGAAGCTTCCGTGGTGTGTGCCCTTGGTTAGGTGAAAACCTGTTCAGGCCTGTTTCCACTTCTGAAGAATGGAGGCAGCAGTATGGACTTAGAATGGCCCATGTGGTGGCACACGCCTGTAATCCCAGCTAACAGGGAGGGAGCTGTGAGGCAGCCTGGAAGGGATAGCAAATTTGAGGCCTGTCTGGGCAGTTTAGCAAGGCTCTGTCTCAAAAGGGGTAGAGCAGTGCTGGGTGTGGCTCAGTGGCTTAGTTCTTGACCTAGCATGCGTGAGGCCCTGGGATCACTCTCGAGTACTGCCAAAAGGAAGGAAAATTAAAGTCATTGTGGTCAGGTGTGGTGGTACATGCCTGGAATACCAGCACTCGGGGAGGCTGAGACAGGACCTCAAGTTTCAGCCCCACCCGGGCAACTTCTCAACTCAGCAAGACCCTGTCTCAGTATTTAGAAAAATAAAAACTTATGAAAGAGCTGGGGATTCAGCTCAGTGCAAACACCTTGGGTTCAATCCACAGTACTAAACAAAAAACAGACTAACTCTCAGTTATCAAGTGGTTCACGTGTGATAGGTGCCATGTACATCCCAGTCATTTTTCATAAAAATCCAGTGAGTCTGGTACTGCTGCTCCTGACCCTGCGCATGGAGGAGCACACGGGTGAAATGGCCTGCCTGTGGCTCACAACTGCACCTGTGAGGATGGTGGAGGACCTGACAGCTAAAGGCCACACTCATATCTCCTTATCCTCTGAGCAGTGCAGGGTCCCTGAGCTAGGCATGAAGCATTCCACACTGTGGCCTCTGGTTAGAGCCTTCAGCATGGGCCTGAGAGAGGACTCTGGCCTGGAGGGAGTGTACAGAGACCTGGGTCTTTATCCTCTCATCTTCTTCAGCAGGGCCACAACTTGGACAGGCCTCGCTGACGGGCTTTCTTCTCTGTCCAGTTCAGTACACCTGTGCAACAACTCCATCCAGAAGCACCTGGAGAATTCGAGCCACCGGCATCCTATGCTGCCCCCTGACAACATGTGGTCCAGCCAGAAGTTCCAGGCCCACCTGCGGGAGACAGGGGCCCCAGACGCCTGGTCTGCAGTCATTGTGCCAGGTATGAAGGCTGCGGTGATCCATGCGCTGCAGACCTCCCAGGACACTGTGCAGGACCGGAAGGCCAGCTTTGAGCTCTACGGTGCTGATTTTGTCTTCGGTGAAGACTTCCAGCCCTGGCTGATTGAGATCAATGCCAGCCCCACCATGGCGCCTTCTACGCCTGTCACTGCAAGGCTCTGTGCTGGGGTTCAAGCCGATACCCTGCGCGTGGTCATCGACCATCGGCTGGATCGCAGCTGTGACACAGGAGCCTTCGAGCTCATCTATAAGCAGGTGAGGGGCTGAGCTGGGGGGGACCCCAGGGAGTCTGTCCCCTTCCCAGCAGCTAGCTCCACAGGGAAGCACAGGTCAGGACCTGAGCACAGCCGTCCCCTCCTTTAACTCAATTTCCTCACTGGGAAAGTGGAGATTTCATCTTTCTCTTACTTACATGGATAACATTATTAGAGAGGGGTAGATTCAGGGCCTTCTCAGGTTCAAATCTCTGTTCAGTAACTACAAATTCCCAACCTCCAAGTTTCCTTATCTGTGAAGCAAGAATAAAACCAAAACCTAATTCATAGGATTATGAGAATTAAGTGAGTTGATGAAGAAAGTACTGGAAAAAAGTGCATGCACAATAAATGCTGTGCACATTTAGCTGTTGTTATTACCTAATAAGGCCTTGCATTTTGTGATAAGTGGTGTCACTTATAAAGTACCTGACATTTTAGTAAGTCAACTAGTGGAAGCTGTTATTAACTTATCTTGTTCCAAAAAGAGTTGGAAAAAAAAAAAAAAAGATTTGAATCTACTTAGAGAATTCTAAAAAAATCAATCTGAAAGGCAGGTATGGTGGCACGTACCTGTAATACCAGCTACTCAGGAGGCTGAGGCAGGAGGATCACCAGTTTGAGGCCAGGCTGGGCTACTTAGTGAGGGTGTGTATCAAGGCTGGGGATGTAGCTCAGTGGTAGATCCTAGTTGGCTTGAGGCTCTGAGTTAAATCCTTAATGTTAGAAACAAAAACAATGGTAAATGAGGAACACATGATAGCAGAGCCCCAGGGCAGGATGCTGTGGTGACACAGTGGTTCCCAGACGTGCAGCAAGGGACACTGCCAGCAGTGTGTGGTGCCAGAGGCCCTGCCCAAGCCTGAAGCATATCTGTGTTTGCACTTTTCAAATGTCCTATTGTGCCACAAGTGTCTGTCCCTGCTGATTTTTTAGGTCAGCGCAGTCCAGGGTTCACACCCAGCATGGGGTGCTTTTGTCCCTTTAATCTTTTAATCTTGGACGGCTCCATTGCTCTCCCCATCATCTTGATCTCTGAAGGGACCCAGCTGGTTTTTTTGTAGAACTGTCCCACATTCTGGATTTATCTGATTTTTCTTATGGTGTTGTTTAACTCAGTCTTCTGGTCTGTTATCAGAAGGTCTTATGAACTAGAAGTTAGGTCAGACTAGTGACGTTCAGGTTAGACATTTTGGTAAAAACACTAGAAGGGCTGCTGGGTGTCCCATGTGACATCACGAGGAACATAATCATCAGAGTGTCTCACAGTTAGTGATGCTGAATTTGACTGCGGGTTAAGTGGGTGGCTGCCAGCCAGGTGTGGTGGCAACATATGTGTAATCCCAGCACTTGGGAGGCTGAGGCAAGAGGAATAACTGAGTTCAAGGCCAGCCTGTGCTACATAGTGAGAACCTGTCTCAGAACAAACAAATAAAATGTATCAATAAAAATAAAAAGATAGTGGCTACCAGTTCTTTCCACCAGAAGCTATGTCTTCTCTTTTGCAGTTATTATTTGTATTGTAGGCCCTTCTCTGTTGCTAATAAGTAAACTGGGTAAGTTATAAAGAGCTTTGTTCTGGCTTCCAGTTCTGGAGGTGCGAGACCAGTGGGCCTTGTCTGTTTCTGGCCTTCTCGCTTGCAGTGTCCTGAGGTGCGCAGGATGTCACCTTTCGAGTGACAGGAGTGCAGGGCAGCTCAGTAGTAGGCCACAGCAATAGCCCTGAGAGACAAGGGAGCACAGGGAGAACAACCATGTCTGCGTGTCTGCCTGGTCTCTCCTCTTGTAGAGCCAGCAGGATGCCATCCCAGGACTCATCCACCCTGAACTTTATCTGATCCCAGCTCCCTTCCAACACCATTGTTGTCTAAGTTTCCTTCTTATACCTGAGTAGAAACTAAATTATAGCACATGAAGTCTTGGGAGACGCTAAACCCACTTTGTCTGTGTCCTGTTTATGCATTTTCTTGTCATGCTTGCCAAGTAACTGTTTTTGGTATCCAGTTGTTATTTATACCAATTTTATTTGTTTTGTTTTGTTTTGTTTGAGACAGGGTCTCACTATGTAGTTGAGACTAACCTAGAGCTCACTATGTAGTCCAGGCTGTTCTTGAACTCACAGCAATCCTCCTGCCTCAGCCTTCCAAGTGCTGGGATTACAGGCATGTGCCACCACGCCCGGCTTCTTACCTATTTTATATACTTTTTACTTATTTATTTGAGTTGAGTCTTGCTTGTTAGTTCAGACTGACGTTGGACTAACTGTGTAGGACTGGTTGGCCTTAAACTCAGCCTCAAGTGCTGGGATCACAGTTGTGCACCACCATACCTGGCTTCTTACCTATTTATTAGAGTGATAAAGTGCTCCCAGGTACTCATAGGCTGAGACAGGAGTGTGGTGAATTTGAGTTCAGCCTGTGCAATTTAGTATGAACCTGCCTCAAAAAAAAAAAAAAGAAAGAAAGAAAGAAAGAAAAAGCCCAGCATAGTGGTACATGCCTGGTGTCCCAGTACTCTGGAAGGCTGAGGGAGGAGGACTAAAAGTTTGAGCCCAGCCTGGACAATTTATAGACTTAGTAAGACTCTGCCTCAAAATTTAAAAAATAGGGAGAGCTAGAAAGGGCCTGGGTTAAATCCCAGTACCACCAGAAGAACCTAAAAAAATAAAAAATAAATAAATTTCTGATTCTCTTGTCCATTTCACATTCATTAAAGGAGGCTTTGTTAAGGATGGGCTTCTCACCAGCTGGGGCTGCCCAGGGGCTCTGCTGGCCCTACTTTTAGCAAGTGCCGAGTGAATGGTATCAGAGATTCAGGAATGGTTGGTTCCAGTCGCTGGGATCACAGGCGTGTGCCACCATGCCCGGCCTTCTCTGCCCTATTTTAGTCTGGTTGTTTCTGCTCCTGAGACCTGGCAGGCTCCGAGTCTCCTAGCTGTGTGGCTGTCACCTCAGCTCCTTCTGCAATCTGCCAGGCGTGGCTCAGGCAGCTGTTCCTTGGTGTGGCTCTGGGAGGAGAGCCACGCACACCTTCCAGCAAGGCAGAGGGGCACACAGTGGGGATGGCCTTGGAGTCTGTCTCTTGGGACATCTGGAGAGACCCTTGGCGGACACAGGTGGGCTTTCCAGTTGTGAACAGGGCCTCAGAAATTGCTTATGTCCATCTCTGCCCCAGCTTCTCTCAGCTGAGGGCCCCTATGTTGCTGTCTGAGTGGGCCTTGTCTCCTCTTCTTGCCACAGCCTGCGGTGGAGGTACCCCAGTACGTGGGCATCCGGCTCCTGGTGGAAGGCTCCACCATCAAGAAACCCCTGGCCATGTATCATCGACGGGTGGGGCTCCACCCTGCGCTTCCTCGTCTGCTGACCCAGCGAGGCTCTGTTGAAGGCAAGGACTCAGGGACCCCTACCCACAGGTCAGCTTCTAGGAAAGTTGGCGGGGCCAGGAGCCGGGGGCACATGGAAAAGCCAGCCTCCACTGTCACTACCTTGGTCCCCGGAAAGGGGAAGAAAGGCAAGGCAAAAAGAGCCACAGCCCTGCTCTGCCCCAACCCCAAGCAGACCAGACTACCTTTGCATCTGAAGATTCCCATCACCCCTGCACACCTGAGGGTCCCGAGATGATTTCTTCTGCTCTCCAAGACCCTCCTATCCTTCTCGGTTTGCCCTCCTTTCATGGACCCCTCAGTAGCAAGTCACAGCCATGGCTCACCAAGTTTTCTTGTTAAATATGGAGCCCCACAAGTATTGTCCCTTCAGGGCAGTTACCTGCCAGGTAGACATTCCAAGTTAGGAGGCCCCAAGCCCAGGTGTTCCCAGAGTCTGCCTTTGCCTCCAGGCAGAGCAGCCTGGGGCAGCAAGAGAAATACTCTACAGCACTTAGTGTGGACACCCTGCCCAATTCCTCTGTCCTCATAACATAGTGAGGTGGGTGCTGTTGTCCTCATTCTCCAGCCCAGGCAGCACGAAGTATAAGGAAGTTGCCCGAGGTTGCACAACTCAGAAGGGTCAGAGCCAGGATGCAGACCCAGGTCTGTTCGTCCACTGACCGCCTGTAGTGAACATGTAAAACATAGGACTTTGTGACCCCACAAAAAGTAGAATTAAGCAAAATAAAACTAGAGTGAAACTGAGTGAAGCTTGACAGCTGACAGCTTGACAGCTGACAGCCTGGGAGCTGAGTGTCAGGACAGATAAGAGTTTGCTGTGACATATGACTAAGAGTTTGAAGTGAGGTAATGGAGAGTGTCAAGGCGTTAACTCAGATAAGGCTGGACACCTCCCGCCTTACGACCACCTTGAGTACATGGCCTGAACGATAAGGAGAGGTCAGGGTATAAAAGCAGCGAACCCAAGACCAGTCGTCGTCGTCCACCGCGACCCAACCTGACTGTCACACGTCGCTGCTCCTCGCGACTTGACTGATTGCTGCCGGAGGCTCTGCCAGAATCCAGACCGAACATCACGTCGCAGCTCGAACCTCTGCTCGACAGCCTCGCACTCCGTGCCACGGACTCAGGTCGTATAGTCCTGTTACACTGGCGATCGGGAGAACATTCCAGTCCACACGATATGGTCCTGTTACATCGTGTAGACTAGAATGTTCCTTTGATTGTTGTTCATTCTCTTGAGTGCTATTGTGGTATTTTGCCTTAATATTACTTTGCTTTTGCTTTGATATTACTTTGCTTGTGTGACAATAAAATTCCTTAAAAGACATATCACTTGTAGCTTTCATTACCTCGGAGCTAGGGAGACATTTCAGAGCTCCCAGCTTGGGATCCGATTCTCAAATCGATGCTCGCGACACCGCCCCTGTGACCCTGAAGGGCAGCTGGTGAGCCTGGGGCCCTCCCTGGCCCTCAGAGCCTCCCTTGCTCCCACAGTCCTGTCCCACTTTCCCAGACTCCAGACCAGGGCTTGGCTACCACGTCCCCCTGTGCTCCGACCCCACAGGCCGGGGCAGGGCCTCAGACCGCAGCTCGGCACACTGGTGGGCCCCAAGGCCCTGTCATCCACAGGCAGGGCCTTGATGACTCTGCCTATGGCCAAGGTTTTCATTTGCCTCCCACCCAACTCTACTCTCAAGCTGGAACCCAGCGTCCCAAAGCCAAAAAAGGTGGGCCTTGTACTTGGACTTACCCTGGTGGGCAGCACTGGACACCAGGGTCGGGGCTGGGGGCCCAGGTAGAGGGCAGCTTCCAGAACCTCTTTCCCAGACAGATCCCTGATCCTCTCTCTTCTCTCCACTCCAACTGAGGCTGTTGCTCCCCAGTGCCCTCAAGGCCCCCATCCTGGAAGTGTCTTGTGCCCTGTGTTCTTTGAAGCTACAGCTCTTCCTAGCACCCCTAGGAAGGTCAAGGCTAAGGGCAAGTTCAAGGCCAGACCATGTGACAAACCCAAGGCACCCAAGGCCGAGGCACTCTCTGTAAAGAGGCTGAGCCTCCCACAACCCCCACCCCTTGCTTCTACATTCTGGAGGCAGGGGGCCATGGGGGATGTGAGGCTGGAGAAACCCCGGCTCTGACCCGCATGGCCCTGGCCTGGATCCAGCGTCAATAAAAAGGAGCAAATGGAATATTCTGGATTGGCTTCCCTGTACTGAGTGGGGATGGATGGGGTGAGGCCTCTCCCCCAAGGCCCAGCCAGGGTGAGACCTGGAGGCTGGAATTCTCATCAGGGAAGTTTGGGACTTCTTGTGCAGGGACCATACAGATGAGAAACCGAGTCTGAAAAAGGAGACATGGCTTGCCCAGTATGTTGTGGCAGTGAGTGGAAGGCAGAGGGCCTTCTGCTGGCCACCAGGAGCCCCCTGAGTCCCAGGAGATGAGCTGACCTGGCAGGATGACAGGCACAGGGACAGTAACAATAGGAGCTGGGGGACAAGGTCGGCCTTGCCTGGACTCAGCCCTCTTCCGGAGGACATGGGGTCTGTCCCTTCCTCTGCAAGAAGTCACAGTCACCTAAAAAATCTCCAAGCCACACCCTTGTTAAAAAGTCCCATATCTCCTGGTGGTTTTGGGTTGAGTGATGCCCCCTAAAAGATGTCTAAAGTATGACTGTGTGCTTGTTTGTGACTTGTACAGATATAGTTATACTGATAAGAGCATCTAGAGTTATCTGGGTGGGCCCTAAACCCAATGACAAGTGTCCTTAAAAGAGTCTGGAAGCCTGGAGTGGTGGCACATACCTGTAATCCCAGCAATCAGGAGGCTGAGGCAGGAGGATTACAAATTTAAGTCCCACCTGGGCAATTTAATGAAACTGTCTCAATAAATAAATAAATGGCTGGAATGTAGCCCTGTATGAGGCCCTAGTTCAAACCCCAGTACCCCTACACCCCCCCAAATTAAGGCAAGATGACACAAGGTATGAAGATGGAAAAAACTCTACCTCACCCAGGTACAGCCCTGGCTGGTTCTGAAATTATGTGATATATTAATAGGAGAAAAATATACAAATGCATTTAGCATAAGTGCATGTGGCAAGGAACCCTCATAAAAGAAGACCCAAAGGGAAATTAGAGTCAGTTACTTACAAGGCTGGATTGGACAGAGAATAATTATGAAACAGCTAACTTATGTGGGCAGTCTTAAAAGATAGGACTTATTTTATTTTTTTTATTTAATTTTTTGTGTTATTGTGGGTTGAACACAGGGCCTTTGTACCTTGCATCTCCATCCCCTTTCTATTTTTGGTCTAAGTTACTTAGTTCCCCATCTGGGCTCACACTTGTGACCCACCTCCCCTGGGTCCCAGAGTGCTGTGATTACAGGTCCAGCTTTTCTTTTTAAAAGCAGGAAATTTTACTGGGGAAATGAGTTGCAAATGAGCCCACTCCTCTGAAAAAGTTTTATAGAGAAGCCATGAGGAATGGGTACAATATGGGTCAAATTATAATCAACCCATAAGATTGTAAGAAATAACTAATATTCATCCAATAGTAGCAAGGGCGCAGAATACTTCATTAACCTTGGTCAATAATCTGTAGTCTTGGTTTTAGTAGTTTTAGTGGGTTGGATAGGATGGCCCACTGCTAATGTGACAGTGGTTTCTCTGGGAAATCTCAAAAGGGAGATACGAATAATCTCAAACTTCTTTAGGGAAAGTGTGTAAATCTGGCCAGTGTGACTCTAATCTTCATCAGATGCACCTCCTGCCAGTTTTTTTGAGACAGGGTCTCACTATGTAGTGAGACTGACCAGGAACTCTCACTATGTAGCCCAGGCTGGTCATGAACTCACAGTGATCCTCCTGTCTCAGCCTCCCGAGGGCTGGGATTATACGCGTGCAATACCACACCTGGCTCTAAAAGTTACTTTTAATAAAAATGTTATTTATGTTAATATATGAGGTTTTTATATTTATGTTAATATGTCATGGGGCTTTTGGTGAAATGATAACATTTTTTTTAATTCCTAGGTTTTGTTTATTCTTTTTAAAACAGTGTCTTGCTATGTAGTTCAGCATGGCCTTTAAATCATTATATAGCCCTGGCTGTTCTCAAACTTGTGACAATCCTCCTGCTTCAGCCTTCCAACTGCTGGGATTACAGGTGTGCGCCACCACACCTGTAAAACTCCTCCCACCAGTTTTTGATGTGTTCTCATACTGTGCACGGATTCCCTCAAGGCCCTAGCCCTGCCTGCCTTCCTTTATTTCTGCCTAATTTAACTGTCTATAACACCCCCCCAAGAGTTACCCCTAACTGCAGTTAGGGGAAGGGGTGTAGTCTCCATCTAGCTACTTCACTCTGAGCAGGGTTGACACGGGGAGACCACCATCAAGGCCTTCTCTAGAGAGCTCATCTGAGGGGCTGTGGCTAGGAGTCAGGTTGCAGTTTAGCAGTTATAAACTCTGTACAGTGTTGATTAGTGGATCCCAGTAAAAGCAGTCTGGCAGAGTCTGTTCCGTCTGCATGATCACCTGAAGTTTGGCAGCCTCAAAGTTGTAGGATTTTGTAGATAAGCTTCTCTTATGTCCTGGATCCTTGTTGACTGTGGAGGGCGAGGGCCAAAATACTGACTGTCTTCTCTGTCTAGTTACCTTTCTAGTTCTGATCTCCACATATTCTGGAAACTTGGTCCTGAAATTCAGCTGCCATAGAGAATTGCCTTGGACCAAACACTGTTACAAACTGTGTTATTTCTTGGGCAGGCAGGGCACTTTTTTTTTTTTTAATAGCAGGGATCAAACACAAGACCTTTCATCGACTGGCAGACATGGTGCCCCTGAGCTATATCCCCAACCTGTTTTGAGACAGGGTCTCAATTTGTAGTACAGGCTAGCCTTGAACTCAGGGTGATCCTCCTGCCTCAGTTACCCCAGTGCTGGGATTATAGGTGTGCACCACCACACCTAGTTTTCCAGCTTTATATTTTCATTTAAAAAATAATTTTAGCCACATGTGGTGGCTGAGACATTAAGATTGCCACAAATCTGAGACCAGCCTGAACTATATAGTGAGACCCTGTTTCAAAAAAACAACCAATTTTTGTTTTCAGTACTGGGGATGTAACCCAGGGCCTTATGCATGCTAACTAAAGAGATGTGGCTCTACTGCTGTTACACCCCACACCCCATTATTATTTTAACAAGGTCTGTAAAGAATTCTCTAGGGTTTTGACTTCCTACCCTTAAAGATAAGGATGCTGTACCTTGCTAGTGCAGGGAGTGCATCTTTCATACAGGAGTCTCTCGTGCTTTTAAGAAACAGCACAAAAGAAGTGGAAATTAAAACAATGCTGAGATTCCATCTCTAGAAAGAATGGCTGCTATCAACCAATAACAGTGGGCAGTGAAGAAAAAGGAACCCTTCTCCACTGTTGGGAGTGTAGACTGATGCAACCACTGTGGAAATCAGTGTGATTTCTCAAAAAACTAAAACTAGGGCCGGGGATTTAGCTCAGCGGTTCCGATGCCTGCCTTGCAAGCACAAGGACCCAAGTTCAATCCCTGGTACCAAAAAAAAACTAAAACTAGAAGTACCATTTGACCCAGTTATTCACCTTCTTGATATCTTCCCAAAGGAATTAAAAGCATCTCACCACAGAAGTATATATGCACCCATGTTTATAGCAGCAGTGTGTGATAGCTAAATCTTGGAAACAGCCCAGATGCCCCGCAATTGACAAGTGGATAAAGATGTGGTTTTTTCTTTGAGTTTATTGGTAAAGATGTTTTTTTTTATACCATGGAGCACAACTCTGCCATCAAGATGGGCTTCTGACATTTATAGCTAGACAGCTAGACCTTGAGACCATAGTCTTTTTTTTTTTTTTTTTTTTTTTTTTTTTTTTTTTTTGGTACTGGGGATTGAACTCGGGTCCTTGCACTTGCAAGGTGGGCGGCAGCAACCACTGAGCTAAATCCCCAGCCTGAGACCATAGTCATAAGTGAAATAAATCAGACAGACAAAGGTAAGTACTGCAGTTTCTCTAGTGAGAAACCAATAGTAATAAGGCCTAAAAAGTATAATAGATGTTCGGAAATGGGAAGCAAATGTTCAAATGGGAAAGGGGAACAAGGGAAGGAGGGAGAAAGGAAAGGATAAGGAAAAGTTAAAGTAGAAGGAAAAAATGGAAACAAAGCTTTAGTACTCGGGGAGGGGAGGGAGGTGCAAGGGCAGGGACAAGAATGAAATAAAATTTATTTAAAAACAAAGAAATAGCACAAAGGTGGAAGTGATCTTGCATCTTCTGTCTACAAGGTCAGACCAAGGCACAGTTGAGACCACCAAGGCAGGTAAAGTCTAAGCAACATGAATTTATTGCCATCTGGGTGCAGATGGGCCAACATCAAAAAGACTGGCACTGAGAGGAGGGTATGTCCAGTTGTTATAGAGGACTTCAGATAGAAAATTTTAGAGTCCCATGGGTGATGGGCCTGGGACTGGCTGATAAACGGGGCAGCAGGCACACTTAAGTCTCTTGTGGTCTTCATAGAATCAGTTTTCTTGCAGCTAAGTGGGGCAGCGGCTGGCTCCGTTATCCTATGCTCCTGTGGATATGGTTAGGTTTGCTTGGGCAGGGGTCCAGCTTGGGGGTCTGTCACTGTCTTTCAAATGTTTTTAATCCAAAATAGTTAACATGCCAGGGTGGTGGATTAATAACTCCTACAAAAGCCATGTGAAGACAGTGGCAGAAGTTGGCCTCCAACTTGTGGCAATCCTCCTGCCTCTGTCTTCCAAGTGCTGAGATTACAGGAATGCACCATCATGCCCAGCTCGTTTGTTTTTTGTTGGTGGTACCAGGGATTGAACTCCAGACCTTTTAAAACTTTAAAGCCAAGGCTGGCCTAAAACTTGTGATCCAAGTTCCTCCCAGATACTGGGATTGCAGGCCTGCACCACCATGCCCAGCTCTTAAGTATAAGATTTAACAATTTAGATGAGGTACCTACCCAGTTTCATAAAGAAAATAAATGGTGGCCACCAGTAGCTGGCAGTGGGGGACATGGCAAGTTAGTGCTTTATAGATCAGAGTTTTAGTTTTATAAAACAGATTTAGAGAGGTGGTGGCCACATATTAAATATACTTAATGCTACAGAACCTCACTCAAAAACATGCCTAGCGTATGTGAGACCCTCGGTCCAATCCTCAGTGCCGCATAAATGAAAGGCTGGAAATACAGCTCAGTGGTAGTACATGCTAGTTTAATCCCCGGTACTGGGGAAAAAATCTTAACTCTTTCTAGCCAGGATCATGAGAGAAACCCCTAAATAAAAAGGTCAAATATTCAATTCGGTAGAAAGCACAGTCCATGGTAAACATACAGTCACTCAGTAGGTCCTCCAAACCAGACCATGGAGCCAGGTGCTGGTACACACATCATTCAGGCATCCTAGAAGCTAAGGGCTGGACTACCAGTGTGAGGCCAGCCTGGTCAATGTAGGTCTCAAAAACATGACCAGACAACGAGGGAAGCACTTTTATTATTTCAAGTCCAGAGAGCAGTCACCTGCCTGATGTCCCAAGATCCGCTCGAGTTTGCCTAGACACAGAGCCAGGCTGTAAGCCGTGGCCTCACAGCAGAGGGAGACTATTCCTGGCAGAGCCCCAGGCGCTGCAGGGTCCTGGAGAAATACTGGGGTAGCGGTGCCTGCAGCTCAACAGGTGCAACAGTGGGCCTGCTGCCTGGAAGGAGCAGACGATGCAGGTGCAGGTGCAAGGGCAGCTGTGCAGCCTGGGTGGCGGTCAGGCAGAGGCATCTGAGGAGGGCGTCATCCAGGGCCTGGTGGGAGAGGCAGGGCACACTCGCCAGTCCAGCTCCAGGCTGCACACTTTCTGCTCCCTCCTGTCTGCCAAGCTGCAGCGGCATCCACCTCCCTGCCCAGCACACATTCTTACTGTTATGGGCAGGGTCGGGTTCAGCAGATCCTTTCTCCTGGGCACACAGCTCAACCCCATTACCCAGCCCACCTCTCAGCCTGGTGAGACCACGTGATAGCTTGCCAGAAAGCGAGCAGAGGTATGCATGTCTGAGACCCTGTGCACGTGACAGACCCCATCTGGCTGGACGGCCACAGCCTGGGTCTCTGTGAACAGCTGGAGCAAAGCCTACAGCTGCCCCAACCCCAGGTTTGCTGGTCTTAACAGAAGGGGCACACCACTGTGTGAGACTGGGGTGTTGGGGTTACTGTTAAGAGCAGATGCAGGTACCCTAATATATACAACTCCTTCAGTCCCTTGTCCCAAACAGATTCAAAGGATGGCAGATTTAGAAGGGGGCAGGGGGAGTCAGCACCTTCAACTCCCTTACTGAATAGACGGACAGCACAAGCTGTCATCTGCCTCAGCCGAAGTAAGAGGAATCTACCAAGCTTAGGTGCAGAGAGGGCCACCTCCCCATCCCCAGCCACCCTTGTCCCAGTCCCTGCCTGGAAGGGGCAGGTGGCCTTGGATACCTGTCTTTGAGGCTTGATGCTCTCGGCGGGCAACAGAAAGCGCTGGCCCAGGACCATTCCCACACGAGCAGAATAGGTGTGGTCCCCAAGCACAGGGCAGAGCTGTAGCATCATGTGCACCTGCAGCTGACTGGAGAATGCTGGTGACAGGACAGATGGCGGTGTCCCTCTTCCTTCTCTATTCTCAGGTCACTTGGAAGTGGTGAGACCACTCTGCCTCCACAGTGGGGCACAGCGAAGGTCAGGAGCAGCACAGCTGCAGACCACGGGCCTGGGGCTGTACCCCTGGGCGGCTGAAGCTGCTCCTTCCTCCAAGGTGCTGAGCTGTGGCATGGGACTCTGGAGTGGTCATCTCTAGGTGGGCCTGGCCATGTTCCCATGGGTCCCTCAGATGCTCCCCAGGCTGCTGCTGAGTCCCCCTCTCCCTCCCTCCCCGAGCCAAGAATTGTTCTAAAGGCTGCCTGGGCTCCAGACCCACCTGTGAGGGGCTGCAGCTGGATCAGGGCACAGCCAGAGCCTGTGGCCATCACACGGAAGTGGCTAAGGGTCCTCTTGACACCCTCTAGGATGTCCCTTCGGGATGGGGACTTCACAGGAACCACCTACAGAACCAGTAAGAATGAGCAAGGCTCACACATTCCGAGGGCAACACCCTCCTATGCCCTGTACTTGGGACAGGCTGCCCATGTAGTGTGACACACACAGAGGGACCTGCCCCCGTCCTGCTGGACCTGGACTCACAACATGGACACCACCAATGTGCTTCAGTGTCAGCGCTGCGCGGATCTGCCCCTCAGAAGCAGCTGGGACCCCATTGGTAACAGCCCTGGGAAAGGAGCAAAGGAGTCAGAGTGGTCTGTGGGAACCGTCCCACTGTCCGAGGGGCTGCTCAGCACCTCACCAGTAGGTTGCTGTGGGTCTGTGGGCTCTCCGGGAGTGGATGAAGAACTTCTGGAGGCGGCTTGCTGTCTGGGGACAACTGGAGAGGAGCACAAGACCAGAACTCTCCCTGGAAAAGGGATAGATCATGCCAAGTTACAGTCCCTTGGGCTCAGGCCCAGAGAGATACCAGGAAGGAGCACAGACCTGCTCAAGGCCCAACAGTAACACCAGGCCTACAATCCAAATGGCTAAGAAGATAATGTGTTTCTCATTTGCCCTGTCCCCAGGGAGCTCAGAGCCAAAAGTCCTAACGATTACTGCCAGCTGCCGAGTGTCTGCCATACATTACCTATCTGTCAAGAGTGAAATCCCCACCCTGTCACTCACTTCCCAGGTGCCCGGACAACCTGGAGCTCCTGCTGCCTGAGCCCCAGGGACTGGCTCAGCTCCGGCAACACAGAGAGCAATGTCAGCTCTCCTGGTTTTCCTGGAAAAGGAGAGGGGAAAGGATGGGCCACTCTCAGAGGCCAACTTGTCCTCTCACACCTACGTGTATTCGCCACCCCTCCCTCAGAGACAGCAGACCCTTCGCTGCGCTCCTTCCCCCACCGCTGCCCGTGTACCTGTCACCGGCAGACCCTGTGGCTTGTTCAGCGTCACTAGGGGTCCTGAAAAACAGTATTGCATGGCCATCAACAAAAGCGCCAGCAAACCTGTATGCAAGACTGACCCACGATGACCCTCAGACGTGAGTGGACCCCACTGGGCACATGCCAAGCTCACTGACACCTCTGGGCCTTTTACACTTGCTTCTTCCTCTGTCCCTGTCACTGCCTGGCCGCTCCATATCATCCTGGCCCCGGGATAATGTGTGCCCCTCGCAGAGTCTTTGCCATCCTAGCGGCTGTCTGAGCTTCATCAGAACACTGGTCACTAGTAACTTATTTTCTGATTAATCGAAACATCAATTTCAGTAGAATATTGGCTCCCCGAGCGCAGGACTCTCTTATCCCTTCCAGCACTGAGCAGCCCACCTAGAAAATGACCGGGACGATACACATATTCAACAAACAGTGCAGAAAAACGGACAAGTCACTAAACGCACACTGGGCTCAAGCTCCTTTCCTCTAAGCCTTACGGCGGGCTGCATACCGAGCCCCTCTGCCTGGCAGCCTAGAAGAACCGGACGATCGCAGACAGGCTCGGCCGCGAAGGCAGCAGCCAAGCGGGGCCCCGGTCTCACCTCTCCTCTCCA